TCAGTCAACTCCTGGATATACTTCTCCCACTCGTCCCTCTTGAATGAGGCCACGTATAGACTGACCAGTTTGGAGGCAAATCGGGACACAGTGTTGTCAATGCATAGCGAATAATAGCCTGAAAAATTACCACAAATTCATGCTATCATTGCTTTTCATAACTTGCGGTTCAATTGAGAGCCATAAACGAGATAATTATGGATATCGTGTGAACCGATGGTGTGATAATAGGTACGGACCGGGTGTTTGTACGGCCGCCTCGTCGTACTCCGCGTGCGCTTTCCACTGGTAGGGCATAACGAACTGTCCCATTGGGTCCCGGATGGCAAACCCTGCCTGACTGTCACCCCCTCTCATCACCTGCAAGTGTGCGGTAAATATGGGTTTAAATATGACTAAAACACTGATCCATATGTTTAGAAACAATTTATAGGTGAATGAGTTGAGGAGGAAAGTGATGGGAAAGGAATATATATTGAAGCACAGGTAGGGACAGGTATGGACAGACAGGTATGTCTCACCTGAAAGGCCACGTATAGCGAAGACGAGGGTTGGATGTATTGGTAGAAACAGTCTTCCTTTCCGGCGTCGATATGTATTTTAAACTCATAAGCGATACCTAACTTGTCCTCAAAGTTATCAGAGCTATAGCTCTCTGAATGGGTCTCTCGGATGAGGAAGACATGAAGGAGTGAAACGACCCAAACATATGTTAGTCTTCGGCTAAGAAATACAGCCATCGCTTCATAACTCTATTGACTGACTTGAACACCAAATGTCATGTTTATCTGGCATTCAAAGCCCAGTCAGTCTGTGAACTCGCATCAAGTCTGGCAGTCAGTGCTCTCTTTACCTGATCTGTCAATACAGCGATATCTAGTGTTTCCTTAACATAGACTCCATTCCAAAGTTTGTAAACTTTCAAACTTTTTAATTGTACCCTAATTATAGGTATCAATAGTTTTTATATCCACATACTGTACATTTCTCTAAGGTTCAAACTTTATTCAATAATGTTCTAGCACATTTCATACATATTGTCTACTGTATATATTAATGTTTAAAAGATTTTAAGAGTTTTCACTACATTTTATTACATGTATATGTTTTAAAATTTATTTATAAATTAAAATTTGAGAAATTTCTATTGTAAAGTACAGTATTGCA